AGGCGGCGCGGGTCCCCGCGGCGGAGGCGGAGCTGGCCGCGGCGCGCAGCGCCATGGCGCGCGAGAGGGAGCGCGTGCGCGCCGACCTGGAGGAGAGGACCGCCCGCTTCGCCGCCGTCGAGGCCGAGCTCAGCGACGCGCGCGAGACGTACGTCGAGGCCACGAGCGCGTTCGGGCAGCAGAGGGCCCGCCTGGCCGCCAGTGTCGCCGATATGCGGGCGGAGCGTGACGCCCTGGCCGACCGCCTGCGCGAGGCGGAGAACGCGAGGGAGGCGCGCGCGCTCGCGCACATGCCGCCCGTTATGGAGGGGCGCGACGGCAGCGAGGGCAGCAGCAGCTCGGTGTCGTCGTCGTCGTCGTCGTCGGTCGTGGCGCGCCGCGCGGAGGAGCTGGAGGCGGCGCTGGGCTCGGAGCCGCGCGAGACGCAGATGCTGCGGCGCAAGGTCGCGTCGCTGGCCGCGTTCGCAAAGGCGAAGGAGGGCGAGGCCAAGCGCCTGCGCGCGGAGATGACGTCCATACACGCGCGCATGCGACGCATGGTCGCGGTGTCGATGCCCAGGGGCATGGAGGAGGGCGGTGAGGAGGAGGATACAAGGAGACTGGCAAAGGTTAGGGAGAAGGCGAGGGCGGGCGAGAAGGCGAGGGAGGAGGAGAAGAAGGCAGGCATGGAGTATGCGAAGAGGGCGGCGAGAAGGAGGTTGGTGGATAATAAGAATATCCCTAGGCCTTGGTTGAACAGATAGCAGGAAGGCTGCCGGGTTGCTATTGTCGCTCCGTCTGCCGTCGCGGCCACTCTGTAGATGGCCCGCACGATGACAACTTGTAACATCATCAGCGCTGAGCCTGAGTTCGGAACCTGGACACGCACCGCAGTGCACAAATAATAAACAAACAACAACCGCTTCTCTGAAAATAGCGCGTCCCTTTACACCGGCTACATCCTCACCTGGCGCCGACCTTATCGATTCTATGAGCGGTCTCGTTTGCGCTGCAGAGCCTCTCGGCGACGACGGCGAGGTCTCCGGCTGCGTCGGCGACGGCCTTTGAGACGGCCTTGATCTCCCTGGCGGTGCCGTGCTTGCCGACGCGGAGTTTGTGGGCGTCGACGACTGCGCGCACAGCGTCGTCCTTTTGCAGGCGGCGCTGCAGGTCGGCTGGGCTGACCTCGTCGCGGACGGCGGACTCGAAGGCGGCGAAGGCCGCCTTGCGCGACGCGTCCAGCGACCGCGGCTTGGCGACGCTCGTCGCGTCCTCCGACGCTTGCCGCCGCGCCTTCATCGCGTTCAGCGTCGCCCACACGCCCGACATCGAGCTCTTGGGAGGCGTCGACATGTTGAGGGAGGGAGTGGGGAATGGCGTTGGGTAATGGCGATGGGGAGGTGTGACGGGACCGGAGGCGGGACTCAACCGTTTCAATTTCATTTCATTGCGGATGAGCAATGCAACGGTTGAGTTTCATGATTCCACGGATGCTTGGTGGACACATGTCGGAACGAATGAGAGTTGGGGATGTTCATGAGTTGGGATGGCCTTACAGCTAGCACTTCTTACACAAAATATCTTACAGAGGCACCGCAGCGAGATTGCGCACGGAAATCTGATGTGCAAAAAAGATCCAATAATATCAAAAGATCGCGCACCGCAGCCAATCACTCCAATCTTCCGAAACCCATCGTCGCCCCCATTGGCCATCGCAGATACATGTCCTAATGACTGCAAAACCGCCCTGCACCCGCCCCGGAAATCCGCCTCCAGGAACCATCATCAGCGCCACTCCACCCAAACATGCAGCCCCGCCCCGCAACTAGAACCGCGCAGCAACTTGCGACCCACCAGCACCTCACCACCATGACCGCCACCTTCGTCCCGCCGGTCCCGCCGCGCCGCACGCGGCGCGCCCCTCCAACCTGCTCGCTCTCGCCGCCTCCGGACGAGTCGCTACGGGCGGCGCTGCCGCTGTCGCGCACGGAGACCTCGACGCTGCTCTCGCGCATGCTGGCCGTCGCCGTAGCGGACGAGGACTATCGGCAGGCCGCGCAGCTGCGCGACGCGGCGGAGCAGCTGGACGCGGCGCACCCGACCTTCGCGCTGCGCCGCCGCCTAGAGGCCGCGCTGTCGCGGCAGGACTTCGCGCGCGCGGCCGCCCTGCGCGACGAGATCGACCGCGTCAACATGCACGCCGTGGCAGACCGCTGCAAGCCGCGCTACCCGCTCGGCCTCGTCGTCGTCCACAGAAGGCTGTCGTACCGCATGGTCCTGTTCGGCGCAGACTACCGCTGCCGTGCCCCGCGTGCCACGGCAGGACAGGCGTGGGGCAGCAGGAGGGGAGAGTTGCAGCCGTGGTATCATGCCGCTGTTGATGAGCGGGATAAGAGTACGGGGGATAATATTGTGTATGTCGCTGAGGACGATTGCGTGCCGGCACCGCCGGGCGTGCAGGTGCAACACCCGATTACCAGGATTATGTTTAGAGGATTGCATTCGCAGCGCGCTTGTCCAGGATATTCGTGGTATGTGCCCGTGGGGAATGAGGAGGCCGAGAATATGCGATGTGTAGATGGGTAGGCGCGTTCTTTACCGTGGTTGAACCGCCGTTCCGCGTTAGCTTGGGAGCCACAATTTCTTGTTCATAGTGGGACGGGAATGCTCTAGTTTGTATAACACTCTGTGATTGGGGGATGCTCGAGTTTGCAAAATTTAGATTTATAAATGTACATTGCGCAACATACCCATTTTCATGTATTATTCAAATCACCACGTTAGCCGCTCGTTTTACCTGTCTCGGTGTAGATCCCCACTGCGACCATCGCCCCTTCACCCACTTTGCCTTGCCCACCCGTTCGACCTAACCGCACACCCACCCGCTTTCTACCACCCCGGTCACCATGTCGGTCACGGTCGAGAGCATCCGCGCGTCCCTCGACGCCTCGGACGAACTTGCGCCTCTCAGCCACCTTGGCATCACTGACATCTCCGGCGGCTGCGGGACTTCCTTTAACATCATCGCGGTCACGCCTGCCTTCGCCGACAAATCCCTAATCAATCGCCACCGCATGATCCACAAGGCACTCGACGCCCACATGTCGCAGATACATGCCCTAAAGCTCAAATGCTTCACTCCGGATAAATACGACCAGTAGCTGAGTACTCGTCTCGACAATGCAAAACCTGGTTGTCCCCATCACACTCGCACCCTTCAGAAAGCTGTGGAAGATGAGGCTTTCCGCAAAGACCGCACCCGACGTTGCAGATTATTAGCAGATTCTTCTGTCGGCATAGGTTTTTGTCACACAAGCATCTTAGAGCCCATCTGCTTGGCAAGGATCATTGCCTTCGCATTGCTCAAAACAAAATCTTCAGGTGTGCTTCTCTCTATCACTGAAGTAGGTTCTCGTTGAGACATCATCAGGTACCCGAGGCGCGTCATGTAACGAAAGGAAGCATCTACGATATCCGTTTCCGCAAGAGTGGAACTTGTAATGATGCTTGGGCACGAGCGATTTCCTGTAAAATTGTTAACGGATTCCAGTTTTCAAGATACTCATGAGCATTTAAACTTCGCAGCGAAGAACTCAAAGTGCAAAACCTTCTCACAAGAAAAACATCTCAATATCGTCATCCTGCCGAGCTTCATCCCATTTCATAAACACACTACAACTTGGATGTACGACGCCCTAGTTCGGCGACCCGTTTTCGCATCAACTTTGACGCCGTGCCGTCATCAACACGCTCATAAATAGCTTTCATCTCCTTGTCGATTGCCTGGCTAGTGTCTTTGATCACCTGCTCCTTCACCAGTCGTTTCGCTTCCAGCACCCCCCTCCACTCTTCGACACTCGGGTTCCTCCTGCTCCAGTCCAGTGCTTCATCGACGGCTCTGCGCACGACGACATCCCTCTCCTGGGACGCCACAACTTTCAGCGCGCCAACCCTTTCCAGTTCCCCAACGCCCACACGCACGCCCCTCATCAGCAAGTCGCTCGTCAACTGCAGCCCTAGCAGTAGCGGGAAGGTGAGGCTAGAGCCGAACTCGGGGACGATGCCGATGGCTGAGAACGGGGTTTCAAACGTGGCGTCGCTCGCCGCAAACACGGCGTCGCAATGCATGAGCAGCGTGACGCCGATGCCGGTGACGGCGCCGAAGACGGCGGCGACGACGGGCTTGCTGCACTCCAACAGGGCGTCCATGAAGGCGCGCGCCGCGCGCACGGTGAGCTGGGCCTGGGCGCGCGAGCACACCTCCTTGATATCCATCCCCGCGCAGAAGGTGCGCGTCCCCGCGCCCGTGAGCACGAGGATGCGCGTGGAGGCCAGGTCGTTGTGCCGGCGGAGGGCGGCCGCAGTCGCGTAGTACAGCGCCTCGCTGAAGGCGTTCAGCGCCGCCGGCCGGTTGAGCGTTAGTTGCACCACGCCGTCACCATGGCTTTCTTCGAGCAGTAGCGGAGACGCCGCGGCTACCATGGCGGCGGGTGAGGTGTCCGTCCTGTGGGATAATTGGGAAGGACTGGGGAGCGGGAAATGTGCGACCCCCGGTCGCAGAGTACAATCTCCACAGCCTCCGCGGCACCATACCGTAGACCAATGGCAGGATGATTCCGAGGCAAGACGAGTTTCAAGTTGAAACTTTCAACCCCTGCCGTGCCGATGTTTCTTCTTCATTTTTGGTTTAATTATTATTTTTTCTGAAGCGACACAAATAGCAGTATTTTATGTTGACTTCGAACATAAACGCACTACAAACCCTCCCGGTTGTGATAGCAATCCTGAAAGTTTGTGGCTCAACGCAATGATTGAATATCAGTCCTTTCCATGCCCAGCGCCGCACGATGGCTGGGTGCACCAATAGCAGTTTTCAATGGCATGGATAGGTCAAGACGAAGGGTACGTGTGGCACTCGAAGAGTTTCAAGGCCATTTCTGTCATCGTGTTGCCGTCGACAACATTTACACTTGACTTGAGCAGGCCTAAAATGGTATTGAACAATGGCTGCTCCAAAATAGGGGCCAAATAAATTATGATGCGGAAGTTTCTTTGGGGGTTGCTTCGTAGATTTCTTCGTAGGTTTCTTCATAGGTTTCTTAACGGTGAGCGTGAATTTTTTTTGCGGGGGATGCAACGGCGATCCGCTATTGAAGGGGCAATAAGCGGTGGGGAGGAGAAGCGACGGGCCCTTCCAACATAATACGTGGCCCGCAACAGGGCCACGTCGGCGGGTATGGGGAAGTATGGCATGGCGCGACTCTCAGTGCAGCGTGGCTGGGTATGGGATGGTTTCTTTCGAAATTGTCTGTCCCTGACACGCATCGCATCTTTTCTAGTATCATATTGTCCAAATCCACGTCACCCACCACCTCGGACGCAAGGTACGGCACATCCTCACCAATCCAAGAGTAGCGTTGGCGATGAATGCAGATTAACGGGTCACGTGGAGCGGACAAGAGTCCCAATAGGAAACTGTATCGGTTTCGCGGGGGACAACTCACGTGAATTCACTCACTTGCCCTTGTACCACGCTACTCGACGGCGCTAATGACAGCAATGCGAGTCCGAGTGATACCGAACTGCCGATTGTAAAGAGTTGGAACAGTTACTTTTACGTCAGACCAAATTAGTGTCGCGTGTGAAAGGTTTCTCCATCTTGTCAACCGGAAGACATGCCCGTGATAGCATGCGAATACACCGAGACGCATCTTGTCCATCTCCCTACAGAGCTACTTCGTACGCGGCCGTGATTAACATCAGTTCCTGCGCTGATTCCATCCTGCAGACAATTTTCGAACCCTAGTCACCGCTTAGTTATGCCACTGCACGCACTTCTACGATCAACACAAACGGAAATCCGACCAACTCACAAAGCGAATACGCAAAGAAATACACAAAATTGCAATCGGTAACTCAACACGAGACATCGAACAGTCACAAAGTCTCTATTCCTCCTTGATCACACGCAGAATGTTCGCTCCTCCAGACACCCCTTCACGCATACCGGAAATCACCACGACGAAATCGCCCTTTGAAATAAACCCTGCAGCTTTCGATCGATTCAACACCCGAGCGATAAGACTTTCCGTCCCAACCATAGACCCTACAACCATAGGGAATGCACCGCGATGCAGGAAAAGCTGCCGGGCAGTCGTTTCGTTCGATGTCACACAGATCACAGGGCTCACCGGCCGGTACTTGCAGATGAGGCGCGCGGTGTTGCCAGTTTCCGTTAGGCAAATGATAATTGCGGCGCTCAAGTCATACGCGGTCTTCACAGCCGACGAGGTAATAGTTTCAGTTACACTCATACCGAATTCGCGGTGATGACTCCTGAGGGCGCGGAAGACGTATTGGTAATCGAGCATTCTCTCAGCCTCGCGACAGATGTCTACCATAGTAGTCACAGCCTCGATAGGATAGTCACCCTTCGCAGTCTCGCCTGAAAGCATGACGCAGTCCGATCCATCGAACACAGCATTAGCAACGTCAGTGGTCTCGGCGCGAGTGGGACGGGGGTTCTTGATCATACTGTCAAGCATCTGGGTGGCGGTAATGACAGGCTTTCCAGCGACGTTGCACTTGGATATCATCATCTTCTGGGCGACGGAAACCTTTTCAATCGGGATTTCGACGCCCATGTCACCGCGCGCAACCATGATAGCGTCGGATTCTTCCAGGACAAAGTCAAAGTTTTCAAGACCTTCCTGGTTTTCAATCTTGGAGATGATCTTAATGGACGAGCCACCGTGGGCCGCGAGGAATTCGCGAATCTGAGAAACATCCGAGGCCTTGCGGATAAACGAAGCAGCGACCATATCGACGCGCTGCTCGCAGCCGAACTTGAGATCAGCCTTGTCCTTTTCGGTGAGGGGAGGAAGATCGACAGTGGCGCCTGGAAGATTGATACCCTTCGTTTCGCCAAGGACGCCGTCATTGTTAATGCGACAGACGACATCGCCTGTAGCAGGGTCTGCGGTCATGCAAGTCAGAGACAACAGACCGTCATCAATGAGAATTTCAGACCCCTCCCCCACCGTGGTGGCCATGGACTTGTACGAATGGGAAATCTTCTGGGCATTGCCGACATGGGTGGCGTCCGTCGTGAGGGTGATAGTATCGCCCGACTGGAGGGTGATTTCGTTGCCTCCCTCGAGCTTGCCGGTCCTAATCTCAGGGCCTTTGGTGTCGAGCATGATACCGCACATACGGCCCGAGCGTGCGAGGTACTCGCGAAGGGTCTTGATGACGCCGGCGTGGTATTCATGCGTGCCGTGTGAGAAGTTGAGGCGGGCAATGTTCATGCCCGCGTCGACCAGCTTGCCGACCTTCTCGATCGGGGCTGTGCGGGGGCCGATGGTGCAGATGATTTTGGAGCGGATGCGGCCCACCTGTGTGGTGAAGGAGTCCTTGCCATTGAAGGAGATGCGGAGGTTGTTCTCCAGACTGGTCATTGTGGCAAGTGGAGAAGCGTGAGGGGGGGACCGGGCTAGCGATGGGGAGGGGCGGAGGCAAAGTTAAGAGAGGGCTGGGGAAGAGCAAGATCGGGTGGGGGGGCGCGGGGTCGGGGCGGGATGGAGTGTGGGATGTGGTGCGGGGATGGTCGTCGCCGGTCGGAGGGGGAGTGGGAAGCAACGAGAATTTAAGAGACGGCGAAAAAAAGCTGCGCCTTGTTTGTTGGGCTGTCGCAAGGCAATGGGGACAATTCGGAAGGGGAGGGGGGTAAGGGTGGCACTACAGCCAGTGCCGGCGCGCCACGTGGGCAATATGTCGGGCGACCTGGCTAGGCCGCAGTCTGCGACGAATGGCGAGGCGGCGAATTGAATAAAGTTGATTCTCCCCGACGGCGTCCCGGAAAACGCCGATTGTAGCACTATTGTAAGCGCCGCGTTTTTTTTCGTCGTTTTTGCTGTCAGGCAACGAGCGCCCGTCCCCCGCTATTGGCTGCTGCGCCTTTTCATTGCTGGATGGCAACAAATCCGAACATGCAGTTTCTTATGTAACCTCAATCTTTCCCCAAATATTTCCGACCATTCCCCGAAACTTTTCGCACCGCCCCTAAAACCCGATCTCCCGCCGCATCGCGATCGCCCGCCGCATCGCGATCGAAGAGATTCACACTCATCCACACACACCCCGTCTCACGGTGGCCGCCCACACGTCACTCCTCTCCCCCATCCCATTCATTTCTTCGTCAACCTCCAAACAACCTCGCCTCATCAGTCCTCCTCTGCACCTCCTCCCGCCCGCACCCGCCTCTTCCCCACCCCCACAGCCGGCCGCCTCTCCCCATGTCCGCGGGCCCCTCCTCCACCATGCCGGCCTTCATCCCGTGCGTCGGCTCGCACTTCCTCGCGCGCGCCGTCCCGCGCTCCCCCACCTCCGCGCGCGCGCGGCTGCCGCGGTCGCCGCCGCGACGGGCGCGCCTGGCGCCCATCTGCGCGACGCCGCCAGAGGACGCGGACGCGGCCACGGCCGCGGCCACGCCGACGGGGGAAGTGCCGTTCGAGATCCGCGGCTTCAGTCTGGCGAACCTGGGCCTGTTCCTGGGCATCGGCATCACGGCGTACTCGTTCTCGAGCTACTTCGGGTCGAACGGCACGGCGTCGGCCTCGTCGCTGGGCTTCGTCTACGGCGTGCCCATCCTGCTCATCGGCTGCGCGCTCAAGTACGCGGAGCTGCAGCCCATCCCGGTGGCGTCGACGCCGGACGCGCGCGCCGCGCGCGAGGAGAAGGCGACCGAGGTGCAGCGGAAGATCTACTCGGATATCACGCGCCACCGGTACGGGGACGAGGCGCATCTGCAGGCGGCCCTCGCCGCCCTCGGCCTGATTCCGAGGGGCGAGCCGTGCCCCGAGCTCAGGAGCGGCGAGGAGTCGGTCACGAAGGACGGCGAGTATTGTATCCGCCTCACGTTCTACTCCGTCGCCACGCCCTGGAAGGAGTGGAGCGGGAAGATTGACAAGTATGAACGCTTTTTCGGGCCGGGCGTGGTCGTGGACGTCGAGAAGGTCGATAGCGAGAAGAGGCTCGTCGCCCTGTCGCTGAGAACGGGCGAGCGCGCGCGGAAGGCCCCGGGGAGCGAGGCGCCGGCGCAGGCGCAGGCGCAGGCAGAGACGCCTGCGGGGGAGCGCTGAGGCACAGAGTTTGCTACGCGTTTCGTGATAGCAGTGGTGTGTATAGAAGACAGTGTATACGGAGGGTATGGCCCCGTGTGGAGACTGGCCTCTCCAGACTGATGTCAGAAGTCAACAACATCTGTTCCGTGATGAATCATGTAAAGTTGAGCTACTGCACGGTGCGCGGCGTCTGGCGAGCATTGTTGACACCTGGCGACCTGGCGCGCCAGTTACTCACGTGGGGCCGGGGCGGCAGACGGCGGCCACAGAGGTGAAGGGGTCGTGTTGGCCGGGGGTGCAGCCCAAGGTCGGAGGACAATGAAAGGGCGGGGGGGGGGGGGGGGGGGTACGGATACAATGGCCCGGGCGATAATAATGCGTAAATCCGCCCGGGCCGTCCACGACATTGAACAACAATGGCCCGGGCTGTTTAAGTTCTACAATGGCCCGGGCTGTTGTGTGGCCCGGGCTGTTGTAGCTGACCTCGGGGGGGGGGGCTTGCGTCCGCTAGAGTAACTACATGGAGTGCCTCGAAAGTCGCAATTACTCGAATTCACGTTATGGCGATACTCGCGATTTGTCTGGTGAGTCTACTGTACCAAGTCAACAGTGCCGTCAGTAGAGGCCTCCATAACGTCGCCTCGCGCGTGATTGCGCCAGATCGGGCCCTCTGAACGTCGCCAAAAAGCGTCAAGCGCTCCAACGTACTTGTACAGTACAGCTAGCACCGCCTGCGCTATTCCAAAATATTTGTAACCGCCAGAATGTCTCTCTCTCATAACTTGGCACCGATCACCCTTCCCCACTTGACCCCCCCCTCTCTCGTGCCGCTCCGATCAACCAAAACCACGACCGTTTCCCCGCCGGTACCCCGCCCTCCCGCCCCCCCCGCCGCCCGTCGCCCCCGCCCATGTCTTACGCCCCGCCGCCGCCCCCGGGCGGCCCCCCGCCCGAGCCGCCGCTCCCGCCCGGCTGGACGCGCCACATGTCGCCCACCGGCACCCCGTACTACCACAACGCCGCGTCGGACACCACCTCCTGGACCCCGCCCGCGCAATCACCAGTGCAGGCCTCCGCCCCACCGGCCCCGTCGGCTCCGCCGCCGCCGCCGCTGCCTCCGCCCGCGCAGGCCTACCCCGAGCAAGGCGCGTACGGCGCCATCCCGCCGCACGCCTATCCACCCCAGCAACAGCCGTCGCACGCGCCCTACACCCGCGACGCTCAACAGCCTTACCGGCCACAGCAGCCCTACCCCATGCAGCAGCAGTCCGTGCAGCAGCCGTACACGCTTCCGCAGCAGTCGTTCCAGCAGCCGTATTCACAGCAGTACGCGGCACCGCAGCAGCCGTATGCCGCGTCGCAGCCGTCATACCAAGTACCACAGCATCCGCAGCACCCGCCGCAGCACCCTTCACAACGTCCCCCGCAGGGCCCCCCGCAAGGTCCGCCGTATTACCCACCGCAAGCCGAACACGTCGACCAGAACGACTTCTACGCGCAGAGCTCGCAGTACAACACGCATTCTCAGCCGTCGTATGCCTCCCCGCCAAATTTGTACCCGAATGCTAGCCACTCGGCCGCGCCGCCGCCACACCCTGCCCCGGGAGGGTACCCGTCAGGCCCAGGAATCGGCTCCCCGGAAACCCATCTTGGAGCCCCGTCGATGTCCGTGCCGCACATGGCACCGCCACTGCCATCCGACATGGCTTCGCTGCAAACTGACATGTCCATGATGGGTATGGGGCCTGCTCCGTCCATGGGTGCGCCAGGTGCCGCAGGTGTTATGCATATCAACTTGGAGATGAAAGCTGTCGGCTTAAGGAATAAGGACATAATTGGGAAGTCTGATCCTATTTGTTATGTTAATGTTCCGCATCCATCCACACCTGCTGGGGCCGCGAGCAACCAAGTGAGAAAATGGATCATTGCTGGGAGAACAGAGGTTGCTGAGAATACCTTGGCCCCGACCTGGGCGAAGCGCGTGCAAATGCCTTTTCACTTTGAACAGCACCAGGTGATACGGTTTCTCGTTATTGATGTGGACAACAAGAAAACCTTGCAAGGGGATGGACTAGGCCACTGCATCACGTCTCTAGCAGAAATTGTGCGAAATGGAGTGCTAACGCTAAAGCTGTATTCGTCACGTGGAGCATCTGCCAAGTGTGGAGACCTAATAGTTCGCGCGCACGACGACAGTCCCGCTGGCAAAGTGCGCCTAAAGCTTGCTCTTTCGGGTGCAGGCCTTGATAAGAAGGACATGTTTGGAAAGTCCGATCCCTATTATGAATTACGCCAGATAATTGCAGGGAATCGTGGCACCTCAACTCTATATAAATCAGAAGTGATCAAAAATAATCTTAATCCGACCTGGGAGCCGCATAGCCTCTTGCTTTCCCCAGGTGGTATGAGTTGGGACAGAGTGCAGTTGCAGATCATTGTGAATGATTGGGACAAGTACACTCCACATGATCTCATCGGTGAGGCAAAGTTTTCGCTAGCGGAACTCACCTCGAAGCCGTTATTTGACCTTATCAACCCGAAAAAGGCTCTCAAAGGTGGCAGTTACAAGAATTCTGGTCGTCTTAAGGTTCATCGCGCGGACGCCGTCGAGTTGCCAAACTTCATATCATATTTACAAGGCGGATTGCGACTCAACTTCGTTGTAGCTGTAGATTTCACAGCGTCGAACAAGCCAGTCAATGACCCAGCCTCGTTGCATTATATTAAGGACCCGATGAAGCCAAGCCCGTATGCACAAGCGCTGAAAGCAGTTGGTAATGTATTGATGGGATACATACCTGATGGGTATGTCTCTGCGCTGGGCTTCGGTGCCATCCTTCCTGGACAAGGAAACACGCCGTCTTTTGACTTCTCGTTGAATGGAGAAACGGACCCACGAGTTCCTGGTGTCTCTGGTCTCCTCGCGGTATACGAGCAGAGTGTCAAAAAAGTCACCCTAGCCGGTCCCACAAACTTTGCTCCGTTAATTACGAATGCAGCGCATATGGCCTCCTTATACCCTGTCACTCCAACTTACCAGCATTTTTCAGTTCTACTCATCCTCACAGATGGAGCAGTCTCAGATCTTGTAGAAACAATTGACGCTATCATTGACTGTTCCAAGAGGGCTCCGCTAGCGATCGTAATTGTGGGTATCGGTGACGCTGACTTTTCATCTATGAGACGATTGGATGGGGACACCGCGAAACTGCGAAGTGATTCCGGACGCGAGGCGAAGCATGACATCGTGCAGTTTACCAAGTTTGATACAAAGAAATCAGTTGATGTCATCGCCTCAGAGGTCCTTCAAGAAGTTCCGCAACGTGTTGTAGAGTATATGATCGATGCTGGAATCCAACCGAACCCGCGCACATATTAGGTTCAGGAAAAGTGAATGAGATTTCGCTGGCGTGGCATCCACGATGAGCGCTCCTGTCATCTTCCGGAGGATAAATGCATTCGCGAAGCGCCCTGTCATACAAGCATGAAATTCCGAGAGCCTGTTTGAAAAAGCTATACTATGTCTCCGTGCCCACCTCTGGTCGAGGCGCTCACTTGGATTGCAAGATCGCGCGGCAGAAGCAGTGTTGATTTGTCGTTATCGCCTGACTTGTGCAAAAACTATTCTTAATGTAAAGCAAATGCATTTGTACAGCCACGTGATGTCCGTCAAAGATTACCCACGAGCTCTTTGATACCTTCGAACTCTAAGAAGACCGAGCTCCCTTCTAGAATTTGTTCCAGGCAGTCGTCGTGGTTCTTATGACTGACTCGAAAGTATAGCTGAATGCGCGGATCCGCATGCAGATTCACACCTCCTGAATGACCGAGTCTTTGGTGAGCAATGCATGCATCGCCAGGTCGGAGGAGGACTCGCTTCGGCTGTCCTATGTCCGGCTTACCGGGCCCATATCCAAACAAATTCTGTCCGTTGTCTGTTACGAGATCCTGTCGCGGGAGAATGGAGAGCTGGTTAAAGACAGTACGACAATACTCGACCGCGGAAAGCGTGTAAAGATGAAATAAGAAATACCTTTTGCACTCGCTCGCGAAGCAGTGGATGTAACTTAAAGTGAGAACCTTTGCCAGTTGATGCGAAGACAAAGCAAGATCAAAAACAAAGGTTAGACTTACCCAAACTAGCACCCTTCAACGCTATGCGCATTTTCCAGTGAAAACTCTCCGTACGTACCGGGCCAAACATTGAGCTGTCCTCGATTCTCTTCGATATCTTGTCCCTCAGAAAGCGCAACACCAACCAGCAACGTAAAAGGGCTTGCGGTCTTTCTATACTTCCCTTTCCCTCCATCAATGTGCCACTTGTGCTTTGGCATGTTCTCTGTCATAGTCATCCCCTTTTCCTTGAACTTTTCCTCTGTCGGTCTGATAGCAATCTGGGCGTTCTTGCCATATTTGATCTTTCCCTTCCCGATTAAGTCCTCGCAGGCTTCGGGAAGAATAGTGTCGGTCATCATGCGATATATTTCCGGTGCCCTCTCAGCTTCGCGTTTGACATCCGGGAGAGCATCTTCCTCTGTGAACGCGCCTTTGGCGCGGGCTTTGTCGACGACACGCAGAGCATCCTTCGCCATCTCGCGCGTGGCGACGTTGCGGAGGACGAGGTACCCATCGCGGATGAAAGACCGTTTTTGCTCTTCAGTTAGAACCATAGTAGGTGTGGTTTTCCTGACTGCAAGGGATGGCGTCGCACAAATCTTCGGATGAGTTGAACCCCCGAGGGCTCTTTTGAAGTATCGGATGCTCGTAGCGTGTTGAAGTGAAGCCTTGTACAGTACATCCTTCCTCACCTCCAGTGCAAGCAGAATGGCCTTGTTGTTAACACGTCGATCCACGTCAAGCCATCCTTCCGCAAAAAATGTGATGCCCTTAATATTGAAAACTTCAGAAGGGGTCCAGCGAGGACACTAGTCCGTTACCCTGACAACCAATGCTTCGGTATCTCGTGAACCAGGCAACGGCATCGACCATATCATGAGGTGTTGTCAAGTGCTGGCAGACATGTGATGTACAGAGTGTTCTTCTGGCAAACACGTTTCAATTTTCAAGGGTTGTGGCGTGTGTCCAGTTTGTGTAAGACGTGTGCATCACATATGGCATTCCAGCATAGGGTGGGCATGTAGAAAATCATTCCCAGAAGCCGACAGGGAAACGTGCGGTACAACAACAACGAAAGGAACAGATGACTTCAGTTAACCACTGTTTTCCAAACAGGTCATGCGGACGGTAGACATCTTCAGTGGTCTTCTTTCCCCAATCACCACTTATCTTCACTATCTGATTGCTCTCCCGCCCGAATTTCTTCTGCTAAACTGTCCATTGCTTTGTGCTCTTATTGACTATTTGTAGAAGTTTAAAATTGCATTTTAAAGGCACTTGGTGAAAACCCAAAAAGGGCATGGCTGTGCGTCACGCGTCGCATTCAGATGCTTAATTCTCCCGATCGCAACGCAGAAAGTTTTTTTCCTGATGACACATGGATAAAGCAATTACTGCACATGGCCCCACAATAGAACCATTCAAGTTCTTATCTCCTTGTTCAGTAGCAACATGACCTCACACCTCAGGCCAATCAGCGGGACCCAGCGATTCTCATCAACGCAGTGGCTCACGGACAGCCCTGCCTTAAGAAGCGGTATATACGAGTTCTTCTATCTCCATGTATATTCCTCTACAAGCAACCACATCATATAGTATGATACAACATTTTGGCTCCGGATCCTCCGCCCTCTTTTTCAAACAACTAGAGAGAGCTGTAGGAACACAGATAAACCATCTCAAAGTACTCCTATCTCTACACGCATGTGTACGAGCATGAATTCTGCGCACTCCTTTTCCTTTGGGTTCCGTCAGAGGAACGGTGCATTGGAATCTGAGAACAGTTTATTGGCCAGAATAAGCAAAAGAAATCTATGGAAAGCACGTTTGTACTTCACAATTCGTTGTAGAGTGTCGTCCCCTGTACATTGCAATTAGTACTTCAAATACATCACGAATCCGTTTATACTTAGGGATTTAGTCAAGTTCAGCGTCAGAGGCGACGTCAACGAACGCACTCTTGACATATGACAATGACCGCACTCCTGACACCAGCATCTCGTCAGGTGCTGAACTAAATACGCAAAATGCATCTTCTTCAGATGACTCGACAACAGAGCGCACCCCACCAACCTTGTTCAAAGCCGCACAAATCTCAGATGAAGTTTGTCCACCGGTCTCATACAATTCGGCGCGTACAACTCGCTCGCGCATGGCTCCAGGCAGCTGTGGTTGTCCAATACGGACATTTCGACGCTGCTCCGAAGATTCGGATGCACACGCTTCGTCTGAAGCGACTGGCTTCAAACGTCCCCTAAACAGCTTAATTACAGTTCGTCTTATTTCTGCTTCGTCCGCCCGTTCTAGTAGGTTCAAAAGAATTTCGTATATCCTGGGCATGTGCTTCCCAAACTGCGTTGCTGACATTTGCATGATACTGTTCACAATGAAACAGACCACTGGCGACAAAGCCAGCACTTCCCGACGTTCCTCGGCCTTTGATTGTGCTTCATCGCATGAACGAATGAAGCCCTGTAATACCTTTTCACAAAGACTCATGACTTTGGCCTCAGTGGAACCGCCTTCTTCAGTCCGCTGTGGGTCGAGGTACAACCAAAACACGATCCGCAGGTATGCCATCAGCCCGTTTGTTTCTTGTTTTAACAGGTTCGGAACTTGGTTCATAAAACCAGCTTGCCAAAGTGAATATCGGAGCTCTGTATCGACATTGAAATCGTGCGCAAACTTATAGCTCATCTCAAGAGACTCGCTTAAGCCCAGAATGTGCTCTGTCGATAGGACTCTGTAGAAGCTAACGACCATTTCTTGAACAAGTTGGATCAAGAGTAGCTGAACCACGCACTTTGCTCGTACAACTCGAAAGTCAATTTTGCTAGAGTTAGGTACTTCAGGGGGCACGTCATCACTTGAAGACTTGCTTTCCACCTCTTTTTCGTTGGGTGCTCCGTTATGGTGGGCAGACTGAGCACCTGGTTCGTCTGCAGCCGCATCCTCGCCATTTACCGCGTGATCTGCCGCAGCGTCAGCCGCGTTTGCCTTTTCGCCTTCTGCCAGAACAGTGGCTTTTCTTTCCTCTGAGTGCCTACCAACTCTTAGTCGGTCTGGACCCAGAATTTCGTGAGGCATGGTATCAGCAAATATGCCGCTAATGGCATCGTTGAGGACCTTCCAGTCCTCAGCTTCTAATACCTCCCCTGCAGTCATGACTAATCGAGCAAGAATACTCATCCCCTCCCTCGCCACAACTTCAGTCTCTCGCAGAATCCAACTTCGGATAAGTTCCAGTAGATCACCTAAGAGAACCCGAGTGACCTTAATGTGCAATACAAAGACATCAATTAAACACTTCAATGACGCCGACCCCATCGTAGTTGCCCATTCCCCTACCGCGGCTGCCTCGCCTCGGTCGCTGCTCGCCGACAGGTGACGGACGTCGTCAAAGACAGGGGCAAGAACTCCCCTGAAGATCAACGCCCAAAGGGATGAAGAAAATCGCCCGCCGTGATTGGTCAGCACTCTGTACAGACCATCGTTTGCCGCTGTACGGACAGGAGATCTTTCGTCTTGCATCGCTGATGCAAGGCCGGTCAAGATGGGAAACCAGGCTCCGATGTGCGCGTCCACATCAGAAAACCAAATCTCTGTCTCGATGGAACGTGCTGCATTATCGGCCAGGGGTTGCTCTCGAAGCATTGATAAAGCCTGTCCATCCGCTAGCGATGAGGCACATCGACCACTCAGAAGCCCTATGGCGGCCAGTGAAACGGGAGTAGAGACGCTTGACTTTGCGAAAGCCGCAATACCTGTCACTGCATCTACATAGACATCGTCGAGGACACCAACATACTTACGCACAATTGAATCAACAATTTGCCATCCAAAATTCATGATTGATTCAACCTTATCATCAGCAGCAAGAGCAAGAACGGCAAACACGGACTTCCATCCAGATTTGATATTTGCGGCCCTCGCAAGCACAATTTGAGAGACACAAGTCAACACAAGCTCGCGTATCGGAATTGAGTTCGACTGACTGAAGCACTTCTCAAATGGTTTGAGGAACGACCGCTGAAACGAAAAGTTTGACAATTCATCTTTGTCCAAAAACTTCGACGCGAGTTGGCGTAACGCATCTACAGAGTACATTGCAACATCGCGGTTGTCATGGCACATTGCCGACACAAAGAACGGTCCCATCTGGAGCCAAATCTTGCCCCACTCAATGCGTGTCCTAGCTTCCATGTTATAGTAGGCCAGCTCTACAATCTTCTGGAGACAGAACAATCGAGGGGAGGGACCCTCGCTTAACTCTTCTAGTGAGATCGTACAGAGGGCTCCACAAAAGTCTGTAACGCCGGCTGCAGACAAGTGCGAGGAATTCATAAAGATTCTTTCGATTTCGCTCTCAGCTATTGTTGTAGCCGCCGACGCGGCTTTTGCGTCTATCTTATGAACCAAGCCATCATGTTTTTGACTACTGGCATCGGTTGATTTCCCCGAGGATGTTCTTCGGTACGTAGTCCCATTCCTTCCGCTAGCCACCTTCTCAGTATCGCCGGCACCAGGCATTGAAGCCCGTTGCGCACCCTGAGATGAGTAACCATTGGCAGACTGTCCGGGCGTTCCAGCCTGACCCGAAGAACCAATACCGACCAGTGGGGCCTTCTGGAGGAGATGCTTATCGGGGTTACCAGCGACAACGGCCCGTATCTGCTCTAATTGGGAAATTGCTCTGACAATAATGACCCACTGCTCCCCAAGGTTGTTCCCTTCATTGGCGGCAATCGCAAGTATCATGCGAACACACTCAACATTTTTCGGGCGCATCTCCGAAATGCTGTTCAGGTGGGTAAACTTAGCCAAGGACGTAACTAAAGCATCTTTGGTTGTGGACATGCTGAAAGTTGAGGAAATTGCAATACCATTGCGGAAGCCATCCAAGCAAAGTGCCACCACTGCTGTGTCCGCAGGAGATGCCTCTTCTAAGTTCAGTGAGATAGCTGCTAACACAGGGAACCATGCCGTATCAAACATTAGCCTCGCATGATGTACATTAGTGGCCGAATAGTATGTGTAATCCTGAGCTGTTCGCCGACTGCTGGCGAAACGAACTTTCGTTTCCGCCATCAAACGCTTACTTTCTTCTTCAAATTTTCTAGCTCGCTGCGCTGGATCCATCGTGACAACATTTGTGCCACCATTCAATGCTTTTGCGTTCAATCCCGGGCTCGAATCTGTCTTCGAATCAACGAGTTTGATTTCAGTTGTAGTTATACGGTTGTACAAACCACTAAGAAACTTGGGGTCAAGATCACCTCCATCGTTGATGCCGCGATTATTCTTGATAAACTCCTCTTTGCTCATTTTGTTCTTAATAGTGTCATTATGCGCATCAGTATGTAGCATGATTGTAGAGTAAGCAAGCACGTATGCCGCGTCTGCGTTGGCAAATATATCTGGGTTGCACTCGCAAAATCGTGATGCAAACTTCTCCATGATGCGGTCGATCTTTTGCGCTTCACCTGGCAGTCGGAACCCACTCAGGTGCATTCGGAGAGCACCATCAAAAGTCAAATCGCCGAACTCGTTCATATCTGTGTAAGCGTGCATGACACTTATGTTGAATGCTCCTCCTTCCCCGAGGTACTCGCCCACCATCGTAGCGTTCAGATTCTCTGCCTCGTGAAGGAAGGCCGCAATCATACCTGCATCTTTCTTCAATCTTCCTGTAGACAACAAAAACTCAATACCTCGCTTCGGTTTTGAATTGAAAAGATTGATACCCTCAGCCATTTCCCGCTTGGTCTTCAACGCATTTTCAAATCGGGTGGTATCTCTGTCGCTTCCTTCCGAGACAACCCCGAGCACGAGACCACTTGATGCCGAACCGCGCGCGCGCGATGGCGTTCTGTTCATGAGAGGTGATGGCTCAGCGTCTTCCTCATTAATTGTTTCTTCCTGTTGCGCGTCCGTCGCTTTGCCGTTTGCCTGCTCACCATGTGGAGATTCAGAGCTGGTGGATTCTACCACCGTTTCTTTTGCGTCTACTGCGATCGTTCCGGCTTTCATCTGATCTTTCCAGTCCTCAAGCGGTTTGGACCAGTTTCGCAAGCTGCGCACAACTTGTATGACTGATGTCAGAGCCATGACTTTCGATTCCATCTGTCCTGTTCCTGGGGTTGATGATGCAACATTACCCTGCGAGGAAGACTTCTTCTGGGCTGCAGCAGATAAAACATTCACTATATGCTCAAATATCTTCGGGGAATCCAAGTCGCAATCATAATTTAGAAATAGGTCGGCCATGGTCTGTTGATCGCTGGACAATTTGCTCAGAAGAGTGAGAGCTCTACGACTCCGCATCGGCCCAGCTGTTGAAGACTCCAAGAATCGAAATACAACTGCATCGAAAAGGGCCCCAATCTCATTCTTTAGGAGGGGTCGAAGGGTATCCTTTCTAAGCAGCATTTCAAATATGTCAAACGACACATCCATTACCTCTGGAGAGCTTGACATGCAATTCGTCAGTAGAGAAGGAGTCAGATATTGCCTCAATGCATACACAAATCTGTCAAGACTTCGAAAAGCAGGCCCGCTGTGAACGACTAAATTCTTTAAAAGCTCCAAAGAAAGAAGTTTTGATCGCACTGGAACCGCGTCGACTGCCACATCACCAGGAACTTCCTTTGCTGAAAGCTTACAAAGCGCTCGAAAAAGCAAGTAAGCGTCTTTTTGCAAAACAGTAGAAAATTCTGAGGAAGCATCGCCTCCCTCTTCAGCAGGTCGCGCTGGTTCTGGGACATCCAACGCTGGAGCTGCTTCATCAGATTCTGTGGGCTTAGTGGAAATTGGTGCGGTGATGGAGGTAATGTCTTCTGCAGTTTCTGCCTCCATACGAGAGAAGACCAGATTGAGAATTTGAGTAAGGCTTACACGAGCGGTTGTTCTTGTGCCCGGCATGCGGGCGTTGAGATAGATATTGTAAATGGTGCGCACAGCTGCCAACAGAGTACCGTGGTGGAGGCCCGAGCGAGTGCGTGTCGCGGCGGTGAGAAGAGTTTGAACCATGCGAAGGTATACATCCTCATCCTTGACCTCAAGGCAGGCGCAAACCATGGCAATGAGGTCATCGAGGCTAGATTCCCGGGCGTCGAGAACCACATCTGTTGAGTCACCAGGACTTCCAATGTGCCCATATTCAAACAGGCGATGGATGCAATCGAGGCAAGCATCGACAACGACGACTTTGCCGCTTTCACACCCCAAGCGTAGAGCTGTGACTACAAGGTCCGAGGTGATGTATAAGTCAATCTTTTCGGGCTCGCGCAAGATCTGTGCTGATGCTGCATCCCAAGCATCGCGAAGCGGACGATTTTTGCGCCCGGTGGCACCCTTTTCGACGCGAGTCTGGAACCTGGCAAAGAGCTCTGCAAAAGCGGCGAGGTCTCCTCTGCGAACGGGTTCCATCCCGTCGTCCTCGGGCAGAGCATCAGAAGAGGGTGAAGAATTTTGAATGTCGCTTTCGGCGTTATCGTCGACAGACATGGTGGAATCTTCGATGCCATCAACTACCGGAGGTGGGGAGTCTGCTTTGTCCGGCAGCGGAGGTTGAGGCGGCGCCGGTTGCGCATCGGGCTCCTGGACGGGCATGTCACAGACACGGTAGCGAAAACGCGACGTGCCGACGCCCGACAATGCGAAACGAGATGGCTGACATCCGTGTCCCGCGGGAGGGAGGAAGGGGGCTGAGAGTGAGGTCGGGACGAACTGGGAACGAGACATTAACGACTTTGCTCTCAGGATCGTTTCAGGCCGCATTGCTGACAGAGGAACCACGGCGACACTTGGCGTTTCGCAGTTGCACAAACAGAGGATCACAACGAATATTATACACGTGGGCGCTAATTGGACAACAGGAGAAACGTGGCCACGTGTGTGTGATGGCCTATTGATTCGATTACAGAAAACCAGATCGAAGCGGATGAATCGAAATCGGCTCTAACGAGCGGGCCTGGTTCGGTCTTTTGGAGCTTGAGGGCCCAACCAAATCGAATCGCACAGGCACGCGGAACTCTCAAATCGAAAAACAGAAGACCAGCTGGCTCACCAAGCGCGAACCTCACCAACACACAACGAAGTGAAAGCGGCTATTCTTGTTCTTGCGTTATTGCACACTCTCTTCGAAGCATACCCGCCCTTCCTCTCCGAACTTATCCGCATCAAAAATGAAGCGCTCTTCCGACCGCCAAATCACCAAAGATGACGCCGAAGCTGGCACTCTTGATGGAGCAAACGAGGACGCCCGCCCCTTCCAGAAGGCTCCACCAGACGTCCTTGCCAAGCGCCGCATACTCAAAGCCCGTAGAACTCTACCCGCCGATGCAACGAACGAAGAAAATGCACCTAATCCCTTTGCAGCCATTTCCACGGGCCCGGCACCGCCCGCAGCGGACGCACAGATCACTAGTCCCGCCCCCTGTAAACCCACCAATGATAAACCCGCCGTGACGGAAGAGGAGAAGACTGAGAAGCCGCTGGAAACTCCTGCAGCTATTCCCACACCAAAAATTGAAGAAACAGATAGACCTGCGGATGGAAATGCAAAACCATTCGAGCCCTCCCCAGAAGCTCCGAAAACTGACAACGGAAAATCATCGGCGCCGCCGCCAGAGAAACCTTCACAAGGGTCTGCAGATGAAAAAGCCCCTGAAACTAGTCCTCAAAAATCATCTCAAGCTGCAGAGAAACCAGCCGACGTTGCGCCTCCCATCGACAAAGGATCACAAGCCGGCGAACATTTGGCGAAGAGTGAAGCTACAGGTAGAGCTCCTGAGGAGCCGAGCTCCAAGGTCGCCGACACACCTCAAGTCAACTCTGCCCCAGCATCGGCTAACGACGCGAAACAGACTGGTGAAGGCACAGCGGATAGCGCCGCCAAATATGTGGAAAGAGAGGTACCATCGCCACCAGATTCTTCCAAAGCCACCAGCGCTGCAGCACCCACCCCATCAATGCATGCCAATGGCAAGGCTCCAGCGGCCCCTATCACCTTCGGAAACCTTTCCGGGGCACCGGTACTGACATTTGCAAACGCAGCGGCTGCCAGCAAAGGAATGTTTAATATCGCACCCGTCGCAACTGCACCCCCACCTCCGCCTGCACCGGTAAAAGAATTCAAGGAAGCGCCCGTACAAACTGGTGAGGAGGGCGATGAGGAGCTATTCCGAGAACGAGCAAAGCTATACGAATTGCAAACAGGAGAGAAAGGCACACGTAGCTGGAAGGAAAAAGGCGTCGGTCATTTGAAGGTCAATCGCGATATTGAAACCAAAAAGGCACGTTTGGTTATGCGTACCGAAGCAACTCTCAAGGTTATTCTGAACAGCCCAATCTTTGAGGGTTTCAGGTTTGATCGCGCGACGCCAAGGTCGCTGAGATTCCTGGGATATGACGCCAAGGATATAAACAAGCGCCTAACATTCTTGGCGAGGTTTGACAGTGTTGTGGCTTCTAATTCACTTATAGAGGTAATCGAGAGCACACAAAGGACTGCAGCTAACAACAAAAGCGAAGACTGATTCGCGTTTACCGATGTTGCAGTGCGCTCTACTGCACCAGCTGCTGTCGAGACAAGTCTACATATATCATCTGTTTTAATCCGATGGCGGCGACCTGTATAGTTGTCGTAGCTAGTTTACCTCTTGCTTGGTGTTAGTAGTCTTTGCTCTCTTGAAAAACGCACAACTAATCGCTTTGCGAATAATAGGGAGCGACGCGAGACGAAAATTAAAGGCATCGCCCGCTGCAAAATATGTTAGCGTGGCGCTCATTGCACAAAAATCATTTTTCTCATATCCTTCTGCGGCGGCATAAGGTTCCCTAGAGATTTGCTTGTCAAGGACCAACTATGCGGAAACCAGTACTGCTTAGATACTGCACGCACAACTGCTATGTCGACGATACGGCATCCTTTGGCGCGATGTCGATTTTGACTTGTCGATAGAGTCGCAGTGAGAGAAATGTCCCCACATCAGAGCAAAGTGCAGAGGTAAGTCGTCTGCTTGTTGCTTGTCCCTTTGTTTCTTTTTTACACTGTTCCCCAAGCGGTTTAAACTCCCAATTACAGACAAAGTCTCATTCTGTCTGCAATCCTTTAACTCTGGATCATAAAACAACATCTCTCTATACGTCTTCTCTGCCACCATCGGCCTTTCTAACATGAAGCAGAGCGCTACATTTACCCCGGTATAAGAGAGTTTTAAACTGCTATGGGCAATGTCGAGGAACCCCCTTTGAGCCTGACGCTTTATTTTCTGCTAGATACAGTAGCAAGAACGGAAATCTCATATTCAGAAATAGTTGAAAAAGAAAACGCTGAGGTAAGTTATATCGACCGTAACTCTGGTCATACCTATAAGCTGTTCTATTGTGCTCCCGATTCGCACCTCTTTTTTATTGTAAGCCGAGGTAGCACCCCGAACATACTGTCCGCTGTTGAAAACAGTATGGATACAAAATAGTAAATAGGATTCATTTGACCGCAATAGTGAGGAATGCACGCAGAGCGCAGGAAGCTCTTATCCCATTCTGTCACTCCGTCTACTCGCAAAAGAATTTCGAAATTATGTTGAAGTGTCGGCACAAGCTGGAGCAGCAGGTAGATATACTTAGAAACAAGTGGTGCGAAAAGAGTAAGGGTGAAGTCAAGCAATGCTCCGTAGAGGCCTTCAATATTTTACAAACAGACACCACAGTGTGACAACAGCCATCCTGCAAGAGTCTGCTCGAAAACTGGGCTTTTGTTGATTACAAGTAGATCCGCGTGCGCCAGATGCGAACGTGGAGAGAGAGTTGTGAAAAAGATGGCGACACACGCTCCGTGGTTTGAACATCGCATCAGGTGGCTCTGTGTTTTAACATAAATTTATTCAACTGACCAAAGGCGATGCTGAGGCATTCCTGTTCACATGTTGATGGCGCGGACGTGGAGCGACTACATGCTGTCGGCAGTGGTACGGGACTCCTCCACACTACCCCACACGAATTGCTCTTTTCACGGGTCCCCTGTGAATCATTTTCCATCCCACTTGTGATCTGAGAATCTGAAACATACGAGTAGTGGACGTCAGCGGACTCTGTTTCATCACATCGGCTCGAAAAATGCCAAAACTAGAGATAAATGCTTGTATTGAGCCTCCCAGTCTTGTCAGATGGTGCGGACGTCATGCATATCACGGCAGTTAAAAAGGAGATTTCATTGCTTAAACAAACATATGTAGAAACGGCTCTGGCTTTCGTATAACCACAAAGACAATAGATTTGTGACTGACGTGAAACGGACTCTTTTCTTTGCAGCAGCGAACGCGATTTGCCGGTATAGTCAAGCATTGCGATTGCTCAAAACAAATAGCACGAACAAGTCTTCAACGGATGGTACATCCTTTGAACAACTGCTTTGTCAGCACTGCGGATTGAGAACATCGAAACAGTCGGATTGATATTAACAGGGTGCACATTCGAAATAGTTGCCAACCTCCGGATGGAAACGACGAGCGAAATGGACGACATGGCAGAGGCGTTGCTGGACTACGATGGCGTTCTAGTGCTCCCTCCAAACGAGTTTTGCGGGGAGGGTGAGCTGACTCTCAACCCGGACAAGTCGCTTGTGCGAGAAGGGCAAGGAGGCGCGGAACAACCAATGGGGAGCTTCCCTATTTTCAACTTGGAGGAACATCCAAAGGACCTGCAGCCTGACCTGTTCGACGCGCTACTACTGGCTCGCCCCAAAGATGAGACATTGCTTGTGACGCCCCCGTCTACACCACTGAAACGACCTCTCGCAATCTTATCCCCTGAAGACGAACACGACTGTAAACGTCTAAAAATATTCTATCCAGAGAGTCCGGATGCGACTTCGCATGTAACTCCCGAGCTGGAGTTGCTTGAAACATTACAACGATTACCCGCCTTACAGAACGGGCCCTGCAGAAAACGGGAGGAGGAGCCTACATCAAGGTGGAAGGAACTAGAACAAGATGACAAGGGAGTGGAAGTGCCAAGACGCACGGCATCGGAGGATGCCGCACCGCCAGCGAGACCCAAACACGTGTGCGGGGAGTGTGGTAAGATCTTCAAGCGTGCACATAACCTGAAGATTCACGGGCGGCTACACTCGGGCGCAACGCCATACGCGTGCCCCTTTGCGGGATGCTCGAAGCAGTTTAGATGGAAGAGCTCAATTGTGTCGCATATGAACTGGCACCGAAACAAACGCGGAGACACGCTACCCGGGGAGCCTGGAGACACGTCGATTCAAAGCGCGGCGTTACGGCAAGGGACGACGCGGGGACGAGGAAGAGGAAACGCAAAGAAGACGGACGGCGGTGCCGTGGAAGGTAGGAGTGCGAGCAGGAGAGGGCGGGGAAAGGGACGGAAAAAGGGAGATGCTGGTAAGGCGGTGGTGGTGCAAGCGGAAAGTGGGGAAAAGGGCCAGGTGGCAACTGCAAGTACAACGGCGGGGTCCTGCAACCAGTCCGGGAGCGTGGTGGAGCTGGAGGATCTGGAAGGGTTTGGGATGTTTGCGGACGAAGGAGAAGACTGCTCGTCGCAGTTGAGTTTGGAGGGGATCGGGATCCTAGTGGGAGGCGGCGGGATTCTTGATGACTTTTTAGGGAGAAAATAGACGTTGCTGATCGTTGACGTGTCTACGTTCTGTTCTGTAAGCCCAGAGGCGCTTCCCGCCACCACATCCCCTCCCTCCCCTAACTTGCTTTCCTACTCCCCTTTGGCTCGCATCCTCCTCCTAAAACTTCACGCCCCTCCCCCTCCGCTCCCCCCTCCGCTCCCCCCTCCGCCGTCTCTGTCGGGCGAGGTCCAGCCGCCTCTCTACCTCGGTTCCCTAATGCCGGGCCTCGCCCTCCTCCTTCTCCTCTTCTCCTTTCTCCCCCCAATCCCCGCTTCCATTTCCCCATCCTCCCGTTCCCCGCCCCCCGTATGCAATTCCACCAATTCCACCTCCTCCACCCGTTTCCCTCAGTTTTCCCTCTATGTCCTCTCCATGCAATGGCCCTTCTCTGTCTGTCTTTCCGACGAAGAGAAACCCACCGCCTGTCTCAATCCCCCCACAACTTTCACCATTCGCGGTCTGTGGCCAACAGCTGACAAGCTCGATTCTTCCCCATCGTGCTGTTCCACCTCCTTCTCCTTGAACTCAATTATCGATCTCACGCCCGCCTTACGTCGCTTCTGGCCGGATTTCACCTCCGCAGACAATGACGCTTCCCAATGGCGCTCAGCCTGGCTCCGCCACGGCAGTTGCTCAGGCCTAGCACAGCGAGCGTATTTCCGAAAAACGCTTCAGCTTGCAAGGCGCTATGCTTTTGTTCGCGCTCTCAATGCCCACGGCGTGGCCGCATCTACGGAAAAGACCCATCGCTATGACATCGTTCGCAAAGCCCTTGCAGAGGCAACCGGCGGCTTCGATGTAGCGCTTCGCTGTTCCCGCAGGGATAAAGGTGTCTATCTCGATGCTGTCCAAGTTTGCCTTGAAAAGAAGGGCTTCTTCACCACTAATTGCCCCAGTACTTGCCTTGATGGCGATGTCGGTTGCTGTTTACCGGACGACAAAATTCTCATTCCCTACTGGCACCTCGATTATTCCAATCCTGAATCCAATGACATCACCATCACACCGGGTGAGGAGCCGCCCGATGTACGCGCTTTCTGGGTAGGCCAGCTTGCCGGTATCGTTGTGCTTGGAGGCGGCCTCGCCTATTGGACGTTTAAACAGTTTTTCGAAGCTGCCTCCAGAAACGGAAGAGCACCGCGACCAAATCCCGGCGCTTACCAGCGCATAACCGCTTCCCGGTGACAATTGCCGGGTCCTCCCGGACCCTGCTCCCCATGACATGGCGCCCTACCCATTTATTCTTGCATATGTACATACTTACCGGGAGACATCTGATAAACAAAGTCATCCACCTCGTTCACGCCGCCCCGATTTTTTCTGCACTTGCTTGGCGCGTCGCTTTTGCGCTGATTGCCGGATAATGTTCGCCGCTAAAATCGCCCCGGATGTGTCAGCCGCCAGGTCGAAGTCGAGCGACTTTGCAATGCTATGCCGTGGATTTGAAACACGCTTTGGTCGAAGAGCGCCGTGGTCAACGACATATCCTGGCATCTTGCCGACGATGTCTCGGTCGTTCTTGTCGTAGTCATAGGATACTGGTCGCCGGCTTCGGAGCGCCCGCCCACCTGCACGACGCTGTACAACCGTCGCCGGTGACGCTGACTGGGTCTGTGGTTCAGGCGTAGGCTCCGGTGCCACCTTCTGGCGCTTGGCCTTTGGGCGTCCTTTTCGGACGATGCGCTTTTGAGACGGATGGGTACTATCATCATCCACGTGTTGTGCGACGTTTTTAGGACTAATGTCCCCGGTTTCTGTTCCGCTCTCTGCGTATTCCTCCACCTCTATTGTGTGGCGTTTCCGGCGGACCGTTGAGCGCGGCTTAGGTGCCGTCGTCGTTTTCCGTCGCCCTCTTTTTGTAGGCATAGAAGACTTTGCCCTTGCTGCCTTGCTCTTTCTTCTCCGCTTCGGTGCAGAAACCGGGGCATCTTGTTCATCGTCCTGCTCCTCTGATTCACACAACGGACTGTCCTGAAGAGCATCTTCGACCTCATCGTCATCGTCATCCTCTAGTCGGAAAGGCAGAGAATCGGTGAAGCGGCTTCTGGACTCGGACGTGGTATCACCGGCCCCTCTTTCCATAGAAGGTGTGACATCCGCGGCACGCATAGATGGTGTACCTGTCTTGCTCCGTCTTCCTGGAGGTGCAGGGCTGTCGCCCGCGAGCGGGGCGGGGCTGAGCAGTGTGGACATAGTGCTACGATGAAGTGAAATGGGCGGAAGGGTATAATCGGCGCTGTGCACCTCCTGTAGACGGACGACCTGCGTTTGGAGGTCATCTGCCTTCGCTTGTAGACTTTCCCTCTTTTGCGACTCCGCCAATTTGCTTTCCTCGAGCTTTGCGAGCTGGGCTTCCAAATCTTGGATGTGTGTTTGTTGTCGTTTGACCAATGCTGCATCAAGTGTAGTGCCTCTTCTGGTAACACTCTTGCGGTTTGCATTTTCCCTTGTTCTCCTTCGTAGCTCCTCGTTTCTCTCCTCGACGGCCTTGGCAGCCTCTTCGCGCGCTTCGCGAGTCTCCTTCTTCAGCTTAACTAGGAGCTCGTCGTTCACCTTGATCGCGAGCTTCGCTTCGGCCTTAGCATCTAGCACGTTCCTTTGCATCTGGATCCTGAAGTCCTTCAACTCCTTCATCAGCTCCTCTTTCTCTCTCTTCACTTCCTTCAATTCTTTGTCCCTCTTTTCCAGGACATTTTTCCCATTCTTTGCGTCCATTTCCCTCTTCTCAACTTCGGCGCCGATGCTCTCCCTCATCCTCATGACCTCCATCTTTAGTTCGTCGACCCTCGTTTCCAACGCAACGCGCTTCGCCTGCTCTTCCTTCAACACTTTATCCTTTTCCCCCCTCTCCTTCCTCAGTACCCTTTCAATCTCGCCCTTTTGCACTTGCAAGGCCCTCTTCATCCTCTCCACAAGCTCGCCCACCTTCGCCTTAAACTGGGCATCCATCTCCGCGAATTTCCCCCTCTCAACGTCCACATGTCTCTCGGCCACGCTAATCTCCAGTTTGGCCACCTTCAACGCGGCGGCCAAATCGTCCTTCTCTGCCCGCAATGCCTCTAGCGCCGGCGCGTGCGACACGGCTAGCGCGCGGGATAGGTGGCGCGTCTCCTCCCGGTATTGCGCCAGCGAGCGGCGCAACGCCGCCGTCTGCAGCGCCGCGGCGTCTGCGGGTCCCCGCGGTGAGGACAAGGCCATTGCGCCCTTCCGCCCCGCCTCGGCGGCGGCGGCGGCATCGTCCAGCGCGCGTGGCGGCGCGGATACTGTCACGCGTGGCATAGAGGTTGGCGGGACTCCGACAGCACTCGGCGCCGACTCGGCGGCCGCGCGCGTCGGCGCTGCGGAAGCCGGTGTGGACATCGGGATCCGCAACGGGCAGCGGCAGCTCGATCGGGCGACGCTCAGGTGCGGCGAGTAGGATGTTGTGGTTGAGCCTTTCGCTTGCAACAAAATGGCGCGCTTTTTTTAATTTTGGCTGGCGCTTTTCGCCAGAGCTCGATATGATGCATTTGCTGTAAGTACACCGGTATCCCCCGGCTACCTACGCAGCCGCATACACGGCGCGTCGCCAAGGGGGCGCGGGCATTGCGGCCGCTTGGCACGTCCCTCGCTTGCGCATCGCCTCGCGAGGGCTTTCGCTCGCGAGGGCTTTCGTTTCGGGGCGCTTCTGCGCTCCTGCACATAGATTCTTGGGCATTGCGCAGCGTCGGCTCGTGTGCAGAATGGTTGGGGTGCGCTTGGGTCCGCTAAAGTGAGGGCGCGGCATGGCCCGTGGCAGGGCGGAGTTCAAAGCGAGAGAAAATTGCAGGGGGCTCCCGGCGACGCAACGGGCCGTGCGGGCCGGACTGCGCATCTCAGTATCCGGCGAGAGCATCGGCTCACGTCGGATGTGCTTGGACACGCGGCCCGTCAATGCCGGCGCGCGATAAATTCAGCGCCAAAGGCCGTGGGCCCCCTGCACCCGCAGCCAACAAATAAGCTGGGCCCTGGCGCGCGCCACGTCCCGCGCCCGCTGGACCCGCGGCCCGGGGCGAGGCCCTATGGCCCTTGGCCCGGCGTCAGGCTATCGCGTGAGAAAAATCAGCCAATGGCTGAGGTGGGATGACAGCTATGCGAATTTTGCCCGACCAATAGAGTGAGAACGTGGGGATCTGGCGCAGCAGATTTTTTGCAGCCCGTTTACCTTCAGATGTCACCGACACTGGAGACTGTAGGATGCGACTTGGCCAAATTACGAATGGGCACGGACGGGCTCGGTGCGACGGAGCTTTGTTTTGGGCTTGCAGAGAATGTCAACGCTGGTGTTGGGAAGGGAAAAATGGCTCCAGCAATACTGTAGTCTAGGTGGCTTGAAGGTTGCCTTTGTCGTAGATGCTCTCTTTAGTTGGAGAATTAGACCTATGGCCCGAAGAACTTGGCAACATAGTGTATGCTGATCTGATAAAAGCGCTTGAAAATCCTCCTTTCTAATGTACATTCCCTCCCAAGCGCCAAGAAGACGACGCAAAGCAAGATTCGGCAAGCTTTGTCCGCACAAGCTCTTTGCTCCTACCCCTCAAAAAAAAACAGGCACATACATGAAGCCACACAAATCAAAGTCAAAAGCCACAACACGTTGAGTAAAGGACAGTTGTTGGTTTCCCGAATGGAAACTGGACAATCAAATGACGATAAGAGCGCGAATTAAGTCACGACAGCGAAAGACTGATATGAATAAACTGCTGTTGCACTTGCTCAAAGCACTCCTTGGACACATACATGCGATAGTCGATGGCCATCAAAAAGTATTGCTCCAACCGAGACATCTCCATGGGTGTGTGTACACCAGCCACCCAAGCGTAGTGAGCATTAGAAAAGCTGACATCGTCTAGCCATTTTGCGGCAAGCATGACAGCGGTGCAAACAAGGCGGTGTACATTAAAGTCATTGATCTGCAAAATGGGAAGTCGCTCGCCGATGCGCATGAGGTAGATAGCGGCAACAGCCAGGCAGCTTTTTGAACAGGCGTTCAGACACAAAAGCCTGCGACAGTAATACGACAGTGAAAAGGTTCGCTGCCGAGTTGGGGAGAAGAAGAGAGCTGCAGGCTGGAAGGGATGAGGGAATACGTCCGATTTGGAGCGCCGCGAGCGGCACAGTTCTGAGAGCACGTACGCGAGAGTGTCAGCAATGCGCAATTCGGGGAGAGAGTCGAGGGAGAGCGAAGAAGGGGGCGAGGACAGGTACTGAGGGGGGAGGGGGGGAGGTGCTGTGGAGGCAAGGGACAGAGGAGAAGGGGGACGGAGGGCGGGCGGCAGCAGTGGAAACGGCAGAGTAGCTTGGGAGGTCATGGTGCGTCTTCTGGGTCTGCTGACGACTTGACGGGTGGAGGAGGAGGGGGAAGAGGGGAAGGGAGGGTGTAGCGGCGGTGGGTTGTGCGTATATAGAGGGAGGAAGACAGTGGTGGTAGGGAAGGAAGTAAAACAGGAATTGGAATTAGGGGGGGAGGTCTGGGGGAGGGAGGGTGCAGATTGGGTATTGTGAGAGCCAGCCCCCTTCATGTTTTGACGTATTTTCTCGAAGTGCAAATTATCAGCAACGGGAGGGCGGTAACGGAAGCGAAAGGCGGGGGGGTTGCGGGTTGCGGGCGACAGGCGACGCGGGGGTGTGCAATTGCAAGGCGCGGGCCGAGCGGGCGCGGGCGCCAGCCGCCGGGACGCGCCGCGCTGTAAGGGCGCGGATCTCTCGGGGGCGCGGATGCGGGGGCGGCCGCGCCGCGACGGCTTTCGCTTCGCGGGCGCCGTGCCGGGCGCCCATCGCCCGCTTGGGTGCCGTGCCTTGTTCGCCACGTGACCTGTCGCGTGCGCGCTCGCCGCACAGCTTGCACACTGCGACCGCCCTCCCGCTGCGGTGCCGGACGGGAGCGCAGCTTGGAGGCGAGGCACACTGTAAACGGCGCGAGCGCGAGCGCAACAGAATGACGCATGTCGACGCCCCGCAGCTTGGCCCCGCTTGGCCCTTCCTTGCGGCGCAGGCCGCCCGCCCTTCCCCCCCGGATGCGGCCCGATGGTGTGCAGATGCTGCTGTGGCACCCCGATGTGACTCCCAACTCTGATCAAAGAGCTCATACACTTACGACTCTCTTGTTTCCGCATAAAATCTTTACACATTCAGACTGTACAGCAGTACAGTACATACAGTGCTCCTTTCCGATATGACTCACATCACATCATCACATGCGACATCGGCAGAGCAGGCTAAGATACGGGGAAGCAACAATCGACACGTTTCCGCCTGATATAATAGGCGCAATGGGTTATCCTCGAGAGGAGATGGGATGCATGTAAACAGCAAGGCTGCTTCATCGTGTCCACGCGGAGGGCGGAGCGAGCCATACGATAGAAGGCGTTTCAGCTCTTAGAGAGCTAGCACTGTCCATTCCATCATCTGCCACTGTGCACAGCGGGGTAGGCGCTACTTCATGTAAACTAGCATTAAACTCAGTTAACATCACAGAAATCAAGATCATACAGTACCCTTCTCATCGGCATAATTTGGGTAATGGGGCAATTTGGGTACCCCCAAAATTCCAACGCTAGGCCTATCGCTTATCCCCATTCCGTCCATCCTCCCCCTGAATCCTTTCTACTTTTCCCAGCCTCAGCTGGGACCTCTTCCTCGATCCCTAGCTGGCCAATTGCGCCTGAAACATAATATGCCGCCATCTATGCGCGCGCAAACTCAAGCTTACAAGAAGAGAATCTCGCGGAGAAAAGCCGAGCGCATGCGAAGGGAATGCCTCCTCTCGTACATTAAGGAGGGCGATTCCGCTCTCAAGGCCTCCAGAAAGACTGGTGTTTCAAGAACCACAGCGACGAGGATAAAAAATGCCAATGATTCCTCCAACAAGCCCGAGCTAGAAAGCTCCTAAATCCAGAGGACCATCATCCGGGTCGCAAACCAATACTTTCTTCTTTTGAAGAAAACATGATCGTGAATCGTACTGTACAGGCTGCCGATCAAGGGTTCCCAGTAGACAATGATACCATAACCGCCGTGCATGGTCGTATTTCCGGTGATCGGACCCCCACTTATGCCACAGGACTGCCAGCTGCCGACACAGTACGAGCTTTTCGAGCTCGTAATAGGTCCTTGGCCTATCGCGTAGCTGAGAATGTGTCGACAGCTCGTTTGTCTGCCCAGAACCATGATCAATTCGCCACGTTGGAGCGTGAACTGAAAAAAGTTGAGCAAGAGGACTCTTTTTTTAGACCCTAGACGCATCTGGAACTAGGACAAAACGGCCGTCTCAGGGGAATATGGGCGCAAAGTGAGGTGTTATGCATCTTCCGATACTCACCACGGAGGAGCACGGAGGAGTATTAGGGACCCTGGGAAGCACGTAACAGCCGGGATTGCCGTTGCTGCTTGTGGGAATATTGCTCCCCTATTTTTGATAGCATCCGGAAAACGACTGGTGAAAGCATGGAAAAAGTCTTTGGATAAGACGGACTTCTCTGACAAGCAAGGAGTCCCCCACTGGTTGTGTGAGGAGGGATGGTTCCCCTCTGATGCCGCCCTGCACGTCACAAAATGCGGCTCGATAAACCGTGAAATTATTGTGAAAGTAGTCGAGCATACCAATGCACATGCTCGAAAAAATATTGAAATGGGGAAGTCCATTCTTCTCCTCGTTGACGGTCACAGTTCTAGAAATGGTTTGGAGTGGCTCGAGG